GTCTGTCTCTCTGTCTGTCTCTGTCTCTCTCTCTCTGTGTCTCTGTCTCTGTCTCTCTCTCTCTCTCTCTCTCTCTCTCTCTCTCTCTCTCTCTCTTTCTTGCTCAGCAGTGAAGCCAGGATGAACATGGGTCATAACTTTGTTGTATGGATGTTAATAACCTGAATAATCTTCCTTAAAGCTGTTACTTTTTCTGGTCCGTATACACCCATTTTTGCCATTTATTTTCAATTTTTTTTTTCTTTCCCAGAACCAGGGATTGAACTCAGGCCCTTGCGCTTGCCAGGGAAGTGCTTATTCCACTGAGCCATTTCCCTGGCCCCCTCAATTTTTTTTAAGACAGGGTCTCACTATGTAGCCCCGGCTGGTTGTAGTCCTTCTGTCTTAGCATCCACGGTGCTTGGAGTATAGGTGTATGCCACCATACCCAGCTCAATCTTTATATTACATAATTTAAAATAAATTTAGCAATGCCCCAATAATTTTTAATAAAAATAAAGCAATTATTTGATTTTTTTAAGTTATATACAATAATTCACTTTTTAAATTAGGGATTTTAACTGCCCTGTTGAAAGCTGAAAGGTTTTTATACTAGGAATCAAACTTAGGACCTTGCACTTGCCAGGCAGGCATGTGTGCCACTGAGCTCTAGTCCAGCTCTGGAACTCTTTTAGAATAAAGCCATTTTCTGAACATTTTTTTTTAAAGATCAAGAAACACATAGGATTTTAAATGAGTGGTACCTTTACAACTTAATGCAGCCATCATGAAGTAGCGCATTTTGCTGATGAAAAGCTGAAGATTAAAAAAAATTGACTTAGCTATCCTCTGTCAGCCTATTTCTTTTTCTTTTTTTGGAACCAGGGATTGAACTCAGGCCCTTGCGCTTGCCAGGCAAGCGCTTATTCTGCAGAGCTATCTCCCAGGCCCTGTCAGCCTATTTCTTACAAAATGCAGGTTATAAGGGCCAATCGGGTGGTTAGGTGTGTTCTACTATACTTGAGAGAAAGTACAGTGGCTACTGTTAGGAACAGGGAAACCCGGCTCATCTTGCCAGTTACAGCATCTCTGCTTTAGCTTTGGTTTTGTATGCAGAAATAAATATGAGAGCGCCAGGGCAAGGCAGAGAGGGAGGGGAGGGAGGGAGGAGAGACAGAAGGAGGAAAGAAATTGAGTTCAGTCTCTTTCTTGGAGTCCTTCATTGAATTTCAGAGTTAAAAGAGGTCCTTAGAAATCAACCATGTATTCTATTTTTTGCATTTTACATAAGAAAACAAAACACTCACTCGGTGATTCTCAGACAAGAAATTATGCATCCTGTTAAGAGAATTTTCATCAGGTTAAAAAAATTAACAAAGTACTGTGCTCAAAAATAAAGTAAAAGTATTTAAGGAGTTAGAATAGGTAACTGCCTATTTTATCAGCAACATGACCCATCAGTTGGGAAATCTGCAGACCACCCAACATCCTAAGTAATGAACATTTCAAAGATACACTTTGGTGAGGAAAGTGTGGCTTCATAAACTTTGGCAAAACAAAGCTTTGTGATGTTAAAAGAAATTTTACTTTGAGAGATACATCACATTCAACTTGGAAATAGGTATCACTTTCACATACATTGTGAATGAACTTAAATGTTACTGCGGAGATTAAGTTATAGTAAATTATAAATGTCAGCTGCTCAAGAACTCAAGAAAAACAAGGGAGAGGAAGATCTGTGGCTTAGCTAAAGGGTGTGATGCCTTAAAAGAAGATGAGTTTCAAACTGGGGGTGAAAGCCTGCTAACCTTCCTAGAGAACAAGATCCCAATACAAAGGATGTGACACTATCCGAATTGTAATTTATTTCTTTCTCTACAGATTTGGAAGAAGTTGAATATACTCTAGAAGGAAGGTACACTATTTTACATATCATGACCCCCACCCCTGCACGTGCGCGCACACACATTATTTTTTTTTATTTTTATTTATTTATTTATTTATTTGTCCTGTCAGAGGTGAATATTCTATTGGCATCTAAATACTGTAAGTGTTTGAATTCAACTAAACAATCTAACACCGTCTAGCAGTCTATAATATTAGTGGGTTATCCTCAGAAGTTATTGACTTAAGCCTTTTACAGCTCATAGTATTAATATGGATTTACTTTATATACCTCATTTTTATACTTTTCTACTGGATGGTTTAAGACCAAGAACACACATTATTGATAACTGATAAATATTCAAAGTTATGTCATCTGCAGGCACCGCTCCCGGCTCTAGAGAGGTGCAAGCCGACTCCTGGTAAGTCCAGAGGGCGGAAATGAGGGCCTCCTTCTAGTTAGAGAAATGCAGCTAGCTCCCACCCCCTAGCTGGATCAAAAAAGCCCAGACGGGCTTAGAAAGCAGGTAGCTGATTGGCGGTGCGTTTTGTTATCCAGCCTGAGAACCTGCAGGTTTCCAAGGCTAACTTCGCAGCGACAAATCTGCGCGCTCCCTGAAAAACAGATAAAGGGTCTGCACCTTGCCGACGTTTGTCCCTCCCCTTTCCCATGACGTTTGTAAAAACATTTTAAAAACCAGAAAGAGCTTCCAGAGTCCTGACCAGTTAAATAAGTTATAATCCAAGGAAAAAACCCCAGAAGATCCTATGCATGATCCCGTAAAGCTTCCAACTCAAGACACTCAACTGAAACAAAACTACACTTCACTAAACTTTCCCACATTTTAAAAAATAAAGATGTATGTGTATGAAGCAAAAAACCCAAAAAATCAGTAACATGCGCTTTCTCCTATCACTTTTTTTTTTTAGTTCAAAGAAATTTACCTACGTTTACCTTTATATGACAGACCGATAAGGCTTTTCTTTTTCAATTCTCTAAGCAATTATATTTTAATATAAGCAGCTTTTCAAAACAAAAAAAGTGTTTGCGAAATAGAAGGTGCAATATTTAACATAGTTTGTACTTTTCCCAACCTATGAGTTTTCAGAAAGTAAGACTTTCAACCAACCTCTGCGTCTATTAGTTTAAACCGATCTAATTGCAACTTAGATATGGCTTGTTGTTTAAAAACTGACGATCTGATTAGTTTTCCCTCTAAGAAAAACATCTCTTACAGCCTTTTGGGCTTAGCAAGTTTTATTTATTTTAAATAATGTGTTTAACCTTACCGACTGTTCGTCCCTTACTGTATTTTACTCATCTTTGCCTTTACCCCCTCGAGGCTTACGAAGAGCGGCGCTGCGCACAGTGGCTCCCTGTGCGCTGGCGGACCGATGCGGATGCTTGGCCACTCTGCCCGACTTCGCACAGTCGGCAAGGCTGAGCCCCCAAGTCCCGCGGGCTTTGACCCCTGGGTGGCGACGGACTCCGTGCTAACTGTTCCTAAAATCGCAGACCTCTGACAGCCCCACCGCCTGTTCTCAAACGCCTGCCGGGCCACAGCCGAGGTAGGTAGCCAAGCGAACTTCTGGGATTCCTCAGTACGTAACATTTGGTCCAAACTGTCTTTTTGCTTGGCTCGGAATTTGCAAGTCAAGCTTGCAATTTCTGCATTAACTGTATGTGGGCCCTTGGCTATCCTGACAGGTCGGGGTCACGCGCTCTGGGAACTTGAGCTGGCCCGCACCCCACGCAGTCCCACCTGGTGCGTGCGCGCTGCGGGGAAGAGCGGGCGTGGCCGAGCCACGGGCCAACTGTCTGGGCACCGGCTGCACGCTTGTCCGCCGGCGCCAGCGCCCGCCACTGCTGGAATCTTCCACCTCCTGCAAGCACGCGACCCTCTCCAAATTGTTCTCTTCCTTCCCCTCGTGCCTGAGCCCAGGATCACCCACTCCCCGGCAGACTTGCGGGAGTCCAGAAGGCGCAGCTCTCGGCTCCGAAGGGTCCCGGGGACACGCTCCAGGACGCTTGGGAGCAGGCTTTGGGTGCCGGGGAGGTCCGCGTGAGCGGTGTCCCTCGTGCCTAGAGCTTCCATGGGCGCAAGAGCCTGGCAGGGGACCCGGACTATGGCCTCAACGGCGCAGACCCAGCTGAGAGCTGAGCGCGGTGCCAGGGCACCGTTGGGTGGTGATGCCCGCGGGTCCCGGCCAGCCGCTCCAAGGTGCCCACGCGGAGGACGCTGTCGCCCCTGGAGTGCTCACTGCCACGAGGATCCCGGGCTCCCGCCGAAGCTCGCTTCCCCAAGCTGCAGCCTCCCCTTCCTGCGCGCACCTGGCCCCCTTCCCGGCCCCACAGTCTCCGCTCTCCGCAGCCTCATCGCAGCTCCGCCTCACCTGGGAGAAGCAGACAGCCCAGCAGCGCGTACAGCAGGACGCCGGTGTCCCAGCAGCTGACCATGGTGAGCGCGATGCGGCCTGCTCGCCGGGTCCCCGCGCTCCTTGCGGCCGTCGGCCGGGCCGCCTGCGTTGTCCTCTTACGCTCTTGTCCTGCACCCCGAGAGCCCCACTCCGAGGCTCCAGCCAGGAGGCGACGCTTCCCCGGGTAATCCTCGCCGCCTGGCGCCCGTTGGCCGCTGCGCTCCAGCCCCGGAGCCCGCTCCGAGCCGCCGCCGCTGCCTGGGAGGAGTCGCGAGGAGCGTCCGCCTAGCTCTCTCCGAGCCTCCCGCGGACCCCGATGAAGAGGAGCCGAAGGCGGGGGCGATTTATAGCCTTTTCCAGCCCACTTCCTACTCCGGCACCTCCTTCCAGTGACGTCAGGGTGTCCCCCACCCCTCATCCGCCTACCCACCTAGCCCTCTCTTTCCTCCCGGGTTTGCTTCCCTGAGGCTCTGGAGCAGGGTGGGGGCCGCCGAGGGCGGGGGCCGGGGGCCGGTTTTGCCTGGGGGTGCGCGGGCTGTGCGGGTCCGGGAGCGCGGCCCGGACAGGTTCCGAGTGCTCGCTCCGTGCCCTCCTTCCCCCAGCGCTCAGGAAATCCTTACGGGCTCTCTCCGCCCGGCTTACTCAGCTCTGGGGTCCGCCCGAAAATAGAGAGGGGACAAGGCTGGAGCTCCGCTGCCGGCCCCGGGTGGGAAGTCAGATTCAAAGGAAGTTGGCCGCGCCTCCGCGACGGTGTCCTTGGCACCGAAGAGCAAGGCGCAGTCGGTCCGCTCCCCTTCCCTGCTCTTCCCGAGTTGTCCCTCCGCCCCTGACCAGCCAGACTGTCCCGAGACGTCTAGGAAGGCGCCAGGGACCCTCCGCTCAGGGCGCGATGGACCAAGACAGTCCGAGGGAACCGGACGCTTGCCTGGCACCTTGGGGAAGACTGCGGGCTCGACTCAGATCCCAGAGGAGGGCGTCTGTGACTTTTTCGGCTGCACTGATGCACCCGCCCAGGTCATTTCCTCAACCCTGTGCTTCCTAGAAGCAAAACAAGGAATAACACTGTGATACCTTTAAAAAGCTGAGGCGTGAAACTGCTCCTGCAACTTGTAAACGCAGAGCACTTGAACTTTATTTCCTAAAATTTTCTAGTGGCTGCTTGCTGGCAAGATGAGTGTTTCTGCTACTATTGAAACAAAACCAGGTGAAGCTAACTTGTGGTAGCAGATTATTTGCAGACACTGATTCCACCTTGTTTGTCCCTAATTATGTCTCCATCAGCTCAAAGGCTGAAAATGTCTTGTCTTTGTAAATACTGCAAGTTTGCAAAGTAGTCCTACTGGAACCTGACAAATGGTCGTGATAAAAGGGACTATAGTGGCTCCTAAACGGGCCAGTGACTCTTCCTGAACGACTGGACTTCCCTCCCCACCTAGGAATATTGGGCAACCTGAAATTGCCACACGTTTCTGTGCCTCAGAGGCGGCCACCCGCTGCTCCCCACAGGCAATGCATGGGGACAACAAGAGCTTCAGCATGTAAGCCATACTCCCTCCCCACCTCGTGATTCTGATGAAACTCAAGCTCCGTGAAGTTAAGGCTCACCTTTGGGCTTGACCTTCGGATTTCTCCAGTATCCCTCATTACTCTCCCTGGCTCCTGTGCTCTGTCTCCAGCAGCCTTGATCCACTCAAACCACATAATCACCTGGGAGCCCACAGCTGATAGATCCTTCTCCCAACTGGTCCTCTGCCAGGGAAATCCTGGGCACACCCACAGAGCCCTCTGCTTCACCTCCCAGCTGTTTGTCACTCCCACACCTTCTCCCAAGGATTAGATAGATAGCAGCATTGCCCTTCTGTACCCCAGGCAGAGGGACCCCAAATCAAAAGACACCATCATTGCTTCAAAAGGCTTGGGATCTGATGTGGAGGCTGACAAAAAAGGGACCCTGGCAATGCAGGACTCAGCTCAGTACCAGCGGAATATGGAAGTGGAGTTTACCAAGAGTGTAGGCACAGGGAGACCATCTGCAGGGAAAAATCAAGAGGTCTTTTTGGAAAAGACACATTTTCTGTCAGCTAAGTCTGTGGGAAAATGGTCAATAATACAATCCACAAAAGTCTACCTTAAAGAAAAAGTCTACCTGAAAGCTTTTTATTTCCTCCATACTATTTAGATTTCTTTTTGGACACAGAAACGGTCCCAGACCTACTGCCAGAAATGAATCTGCATTGCTTGTGAAGCCAGAATGGGCATTTGGTGGACAGTTTGAAAGGATCTTTATACTTCTCTAAGATGCTCACCAACATTGTGAATGCACTGCTCCATTATTTAAGGTTAACTGAATCATAGTCTAATCTAACTAATTTATGTGGGATCGAAGCGGTAAGAAAGGTGTAGTCCTTCCCAAATCCCCAACTGTTCTTTTGAAAAGTTGCAGACTTTTAATTATAGTCTGCAATTTCTTCACAACTTCTTTCAGTGAGTTTCATTAGCCTTCTCATAAAGAGCTAAAAAGAAAAATGCTACAAATAGTTCTGAAGGGTTTGTTTGTGATTTCATTTTAACTTCAGTATGGGGAATAAAGGTATAACTCTCGCCCCTCTCTCTGAAAGAGATAATACCCTTGCATAATGGGCTACAGAACTCTTCTAACTAAATCACACATGAAAGAGGTTTTATAGATAATACTGATGGAAAAGATCAAATTCAACACGGTTGGTGGGTATAAAAAGCTATTGAAGTGACTATCTGCTTGCTTCCTGCTCACATACAAAAGAACATTTCATCTCCTGTTTGGTTAGCAAAACCAGACACTCTCTCTTTTATCAGCTGCAAACATTCTCTTGTGGTTTCTTTCTGGACATTACTCAGGGGCATACTGTTGGTATAGCCAACAGCTTTTATATTCAAGACAGAATAAAAGTGGCACAGCATCAGTATAAGAGACCGAAGAAAGTCCAGGGTGGGTCTTCCTACAAGGCTTTGAGCATGGAGCTGCTCAGCTTGCAGTGGCTGAGGTTGTGTCAGGAGTTTCATCCCACATGGGTTAAGTAGTTTGAAGTAAAAGAGGAAAATATACAGCATGAGCTGGTTATAAGAAGTCAGTGGTCTTATTAGCCCCTCTGATGTCATTACATCTCCTCTGGACAGTTTGAGCTCCTTGGTCTAATATGCACACACTCCCAGATCTATTGTAGGAAGCTCTGCTGCATGTACCAAACAGGCACGTTTGCAGTTTTATCAAACAGAAGTTAATCAATTGACCTACCTGCTCAAAGTCTTGTTTATGTTGGTGTGTGACTGTGGCTAGACACGTTCCCATTTCAAAGAATGTAAACACCTGTAACTCAGTGGTACTGCTGGAATGGATGAGGGCCTAGGTTCTATCCTGACCACTGAAAAGGAGGAGAAGCAAGAGAAAGCTCTCACTTGACCCATCCACTCAGTCAATATCTGGATTTCCGTTATAACCTCCTTTTCTGTGTTGATACCTCCACATGAAAATTCATTGAATACATGTACCAAGAAACCACCTGTGCCCAGGCTCCTCATCTCTGCCCCTATGGTCACTGCTGTAATGACATGTTGTAGAAATTCCTCTGTGTATGCTGATATCTGCGATCTAAGCAACTATGTTGAGGACAGCAATGTGCAATACAAAAGTCATGCTTCAATACGTGTCATTTTGATCTTCTAAATGTGTACCATTTCTAATGTCATACCAATTATTGTTATATTATCTTCAAAATATTTTTTAAAAGGTAAAAAAAAAAGAGAACAAAAATTTAAGATTTCTTGAATGCAAGTGGTAAAATTCAGTTATATGTCTAAGCTTATTTTTTTAAAGGTGCTTTAAACACTTTATTTAACTGAAATGGACTTACATTTTTTTCTGAAGTGACTTCCATTCATGTTGATACATCTTTTCTCCATGATGATTTACAGGATCTTCAAGCCAATATAAATATTTTATAAATATTTGAATATTTGGGTATATACCTGTGCAATAGCTTGGCAATATCTTTCAGCAACAAAAACACTGAAGAGTAAAGACTACACACGATTACTAGGTACAGTAAAATTCTGCTGCAAATATTTCTGAGGTAAGAAGGCACCACATACCTGTTCAACTAAGAAAACCACCCTTATAACACAGGATGATTTTATTTTTACATAGGACCTAGAACACTTAGGCTGCCAACTGGGTGCTGAATGGCAGAGCAACGTACCCAGTTTATGCTATGCATTCATAGGGAATGGGTTCCAACAATTCAAGTTCCCTTCCATTGGTCCTCACAAAGTGTGCTTCTCTGGGAGGGGCAGGCTGGCGCTTCAGTTGAACCCAGGTACCTTTCTCTTTGGCTTCCTTCTTCTGTTCATTTTCCTTGACATGTTTCAGGAAGCTATCATAACTTTTTGAGTGTTTAATATGCTCAATACCCACATTAATCCTCTTGGCAAGTATCTTGCCCTTAACCTGCTTGTTTCCAACAATGCCAACAGCATGCTGGGTAACATTGTAGACTCTTCCTATTTTGCCATGGTAACATTTGTGAGGCATTCCTTTTTATACAGTACCCATTCCCTTGATGTCTACAATGTCACCCTTTTGGTAGGTTTGCATGCATGTGGCCAAAGGAACAACTCCATGTTTTCTAAAAGGCCTGGAAAACATATACCAGGTTCCCCTCCTCTTGCCCTGTGTGTTAGTCATTTTGGCAAATTACTGGAAAATGGTGGTTCCGGCCAAAATGCTGTCCAATCTTACATAACTATATCTGTTAATCTGAGCAACAGATTTTGTGATAAAAATAGATAATACATTAACCATTGTTAATCAACTATTCTTGTTTTGAAAATCTATAACATACGTCTTGTTATACATGACCCTGTTTCTGTCTTAGTTTCTGATTTTTGTTCTTGATTTTGTTTTTACTGTTCAAACTCAAATAAAATTAAACTAAAAAAAATAAAAAATTCCCTCCAGCTTCCCCAGAAGGAAGAGGCAGCTTTATCAGTCTCCCTGCAGGTAAAATACTCAATTTCCTTCTAAAGACCAAGAGAAAAGCACTGGGAAGGCCTAAGGCTTCTTTCGTGAGTTGCATTAGTTGAGCAAGGAGGGGGAAGAAGCTGAGATGGAAATCGCTTCCCCAAGCAGGATGGGGTGGGATAGAGGCACAGGGGAAGCCCTCTCTGAGCTGTGCCAGCAGAGTATAGGGCAGATGGCAGCTGAACAGACCCCACAGGCCTGAGGCAGCCTCACTTTTCCTGTTCCTCTGCAGAACTTTTATTGATTCTGGCTACTTTTGCCTTTGTCTAGGTGGGTACTGCTGTTGTTTTGATATGGCATCTTCCTATGTTGCCCAGCCTGCTTTTGAACTCCTTATTTTAACGAATCCTGTCTCAGGTGGTACTGCAGGCCTGCACCCTTACCTCTGGCCATATAAAATCTTTTGATTTATTCAAAAGTCTGGCTGCTTTTTGAAGCTGAATGCTGGGGTTTTGAACTTTACATTTCCATGTTCCTGCTTCTATTCCTAAGGACCACAACGGAGCTCCTGCACCGCTTTCACTGCATCCTGTAGCACTTTTATGCCTGGACTATTTACTGAACAGTTTACAGAATAGCCCGGTTACAGCCCCTGAAACTTTTGCACAAAAGCACATGTCTTCTTATGTAGATACACTGTTGACTCATTGCAGACCCTCATACTTTTTTTTTTTTTTTTTTTTTTGTAGTAGTACTGGGGATTGGACCCAGAGATTCTACCGCTGAGCTACATTCCCATTTTTACTTTTTATTCTGAAAAAAGGTGTCACTAAGTTGCTAAATTGCCCAGGTTGAGTTTGAACTTGCAATCCTCCCAGCTTGGCCTACTGAGAAGCTGGTGTTGCAGGCCTGTGCCACTCATCTGGCTCATGCGTACTATTA